CAAATGTAAAGGGATGAATGTCCCGGCCGTTCTCTTATTCCACCACTGATATTTTGTACGTGTCTTTGTTAAAAAAACTTATACATGTGCGGTTAATAGTATCCTTATATTGTTCTTAATTTGAATTTTTAAAATTTCTAACTATTTTTATTTGTTATATAATTAATGTTAATTAAATTATTTGAAAAATAATTAGTTAACTCTTTCTGTTGTATTATAGAATAATTAACTAAAAATAGTTAAAAAATAGTTGAACAGATTTATAATCTTATATAAGTAAAATCACAAATGTGTAAAAATACATTATTCACACACACACATATATATATATTATGTTATATTTATATAATTTTTATTACTTGATAATAACTGATTTTCTATTGTTTTTTATATATCTATATTCTATTTCTGTGACATACCTCAAATGTAAATTATGTCTTTTATAAAAACATGCAAATAAACATTTTCCGATACCCAAAGATGTGTATTATTTCTGCCTTCAGGTAATGGCAAGCCAGCTATGTATGTCTATCAATGTTATGTTGTTACGAACAATATTCAGTAGACATGCTTCCAGCATTCGCTGTCATTACTTTGGTTGGGATTAGCCATTGGCTAAGCCTCCTATTTTTTATTTTTTTATTATAATTATTTTGTGTGGCTTGCATGACTCACGCTTTGGTTACCACGTCATACTCGATTTGTCTGCCACAAAATCGTAAGAAGATCATATGAATTGATTTTTAGATATGAGTTTGCATTTTTCATTTAACATAATACAATAAATTTTTTTACATACACAATATTTTGTGGGATTCATATTTTTTGAAAAAAAAAAAAAAAAATTAAGTCATGTAAAATAAATCTCTATAATATTACACAATTATTTTTCTTATAACATAACTCTTACAGAACCTTTCGGAGATTATAAAAGATGGTTTCAATTAAATTAACGGTTTATTTTATATTGTCTTTTAATAATCAATGATTTAACTATAAGTTGAGATGCTCATGACCTCATGTCACAGACCGGATCCTTTTTATGTGAAATTTAAGACCACACCATGACACCACCAACTTCTTTTATTTTGCTATATACTAAAACAAGGAAGATTAGACTTCATAGTACGATACTAATCCCACTATCGTGTATCATTTAAGGAAAATATCACTCTCATTTTATATGAAATAGTTATTTTATGTTCTCTTATTTCGAAAATCGCAATCTCTCTTTTTTCTTTTTCTTTTTATTGATGGCCCCACTTAAATTCTCTCTATAGTATGCGAGAACTACTTTCATGTAACATGAGAGTAATATTCTCCTTTAATATATAAAATGATTTTAGCTGTTTATAGACAAATTATTAATGATGATAGATGAGAGAGATAAATTATTAAGATAAAAAATGAACATTGATTTATAAATGAGGTTTATGTCTGTAATATTACAGGACAAGACCCTCAATTTTCCGCAGACACAATGTCTGTGGGGTCTGTTGTATTTTATTTTTTATTTTTTTTAAAAGCTAGCATTGTTTTCTATACATTTGTAGGAAGACAATTTTATGTTCCAGGTTCAATTTCCCTTTATAAATATATGACTAATATCATCTTATATCACCTGGTCATATTAATTGTGACATAAAGAATCTATTATCATTTAAGATAGATTATTCAGTACATAATTTTAAGTGCATTTCAATTGTTGTTTAAAATTATAGGTTCGTATTTTCTGCAGTTACTACAGATAAATTATCTGCAGTAAGTCCAATACGACATCGATTTGGGACAGAAATCATGGTGTTTTTGTAATTTTAATTTATTTCATGGTTATTATAGTCTTTATAATTTAATTTTTTAATCTTTTAATCTAAAACGACGTCGTTTTATAAATAAATGCAGATAACTTATCTGCAGTAACTACAGAAATATTTTTCTGTAAAATTATATCATACAGATTTTTGTCCAAATTATAATCTGGGCTTTTTAAACTTAAAAAAAATCAAACATATATTTTATAGGTAGGTTATATTTACTACTGTTTATTCTTATTACCTCTTAATATCAAATCTTAACTGTTAATTTTTGTCAATCTAATAACTATAATTTATTGAAAATTAATAATTAATTAATAAATATCACCTAACGATTAAGATTTGATAATAAAAGATAATAAGAAAAAATGTAGTAAGTATAATATTTCCCATATTTTATGCACTAAAACAATTATAATATATTTTCACTTCAAAATATAAAATATTCACAAAATACATAAAATTATATAACTATTTAATATTAATTGACTTAATTCATATATCTTATGCATACTAAATGCATATAAAAATTTCTCTATCAATAGCAGTTTTTTAATTATACATGAGACAAGTGGTGACATTATTTGAAGACAAATAAAGCAGAGTTTTAAAACCTGGATTGAACCGGCCGGGTCAATTCGGGTTTCGGTGACTCAACGAGTTCTCTGATTCAAGCGGTCATTTGGATCGTTCATATAATCAACTTGGATTGTTTCGGTGGACTCGGTCGAGTCTCGGTGACCTAATGAGTTATACAAAACCTGGTTTGGACCGGTCATAATCAACCTTTTTTTTTGGGTTATATTTTTAGCTCAAGTTATAAATCTTGGTGCCACTCTATTTTAGTTCGTGTGAAATTATTACTTGCTTTTACTTTGATGTCGATGATAAGGAATTTGGACATTTTTTTGGTAGGTTGAAAACGACTATGGTCGTTTCTGGTATCCAAAAAGGTATTATGGGACCTTTTCCTTTTATTAACGTGGTGTACCTCATCATTTGTTTGAAAGCCTACATCATGCAATAGTGATTAGATAAACCTCTACATAAACTTTGGTCTTATCCAACCAAAACTAGAATCGTTTTTGGCTTTTTACAGTGTAGCAGTATAACCTTTTGCTTGCTTGCTGCATAATGGATTGTCACTTTATTCATCATTGTAATATTGAGAAGTATTTATTATTAATAGTTTTCTTCTGTGAATTTTTAATACAAATAATATATTTATATTTTTTGAAGAGGCAAGATATATTTATTACCATAAAAGTTTTTCACTTTTACAACCAATCTAATCATCGTTGATTTTCGTCAATCAAACGATTATAATTTATTGCATTTATTGAAAATTAATAATTAATTAAAAAAAATGACCCAATAATTCATAATAAATTTTAACCGTTAAATTGACAGAAATCAACTGTGATTAAATTAGTTGTAAATTTTTCTGGTGATAAGTATATGCTTTTCCTTTTTTTAATATGTGAACAGTATATCCGACTAAACCCGGTTAAATTAATGATCCAGTAAACTAATACCTTGACCGAATCGATAATCGATCCAAATTTTAAAACATTGAAATGAAATAAAGTTTACAGACACCGGCAAAATGTGTATAATATTTTTTCTTAATGTCTCAATTATTTTGAACAGGGGTAAAAAGAAAAGGGAGAGCTAAACAATTCAACTTGCGAGGTATATGTAAAACTTGCTCAATAAAATTTTTGTATGTACAGATAACGCTACTCTGTGAAAAACGAGTGATGTTAGACATTAAAAATTTAATTTTACCAAAACGATGAAGCCATTTATTTTGATTATTACTTTACTAAAAAAAATAATCATTTATTTTTTAGTATAGGACAATACTCCGCGCAATTTTTTGGTTAAATGATCATACTTATACTACCAAAAAAATAAAATAAAAATGATCATAATTATGCTCATAAAGCTCAAGCCTTGGGTGGATGTGGACCATTACTTCAAACACATTATGGTTCATGCATAAAGAAATCAACTTAGCCCAATATTCTACCTTTATACATCGGCCCAATTCCTCACATTTATAACTTGTACAAAGTTCTTATCTGTATACTCTCCGGTCACGGCTGAACCTTTATGATCATGGACCGAATCCTTAGGCTGGCCTCAGACCTAAGTCACCTACAGTGAATACTAATTAAACTCAACAAATTCCCGCTTGTTTTACTCCACTCTGTCAAAATTAGTTGGTTTCCATTATCCGTTTCACCTAATTAAACCGCCATGTTGATTTTGGATTTTTGATAAGACCGCTTTATGCTCCTATCGTTTTCTATTAACGATTAATTTCTGTGCAATTTATTTAAGAAACGCATAAAATGAATTGCATGTATTAAGTCATTTACATTTATTGTTGGTGTGTAGAAAATGAAATGATTATAGGTAAATCAATAAGGTAAAGGTTTCAACATTGAACTGACTGAAGAAATAAACTGCTATGTGGGTGGGAGAATACGAACTTGTTAGTAATTTGTTATGTTATGCTACATGTTTATTGTTTGCCGATCTCCTTGTACCAAACCAGGCAATTCAGGATTGGTTAGCATGTGAACTAGATTGTTGCAGCCAATTTAAGGGCCTATTCAAATTTTTACTTTTTTTTTTTTTTTGGGTAAGCTGAAATTTTTACTCTCTCGAAGTAAATCCTCTCTTATTTTATTTAATATAATATAATCATATAAGTTGATTAATGATGATAAAGAAAAAGAGAAAATATATTAAAATAAGTAGTTATAAATTCACTTTTATATGGTTATAATTCTACACATGACGTGACCATATGTTAAGTAAACCATGAGAGAATCTATTTTCAATTATTATATTTCAATGTTGTCTCATTCTTTATTTTATTTTTTTGTGAGGATGTTGTCTCATTCTGTACAGAAATCAACAATTCTTATTTTATATTTGAAATATTTTATAATCAAATGTTTATTAAAAAATAAAAATAATCCTTAACCATTCATGTATTTAAATTTAGGAAAATATATTTCTACTTTTTCTATAAAACAAAATTCTGTCACACCCACATATAAAACCCACTTCCTTTTATGTGAATTTAGCAAAAAAAAAAAATTTTCTACGATAGACATTAAACCCTTAAATTTAATCAAGACCTACAGGAACTTCTATCAGTGCTCAAAGTTAAAACTAACACAATCCTAGGATTTGACTTATTAAAGGGTAGTAGAGTAATACTAAACACACGGGTTGGTATAAAAAAGAAAAAGAAAAAGCACAAACATAGAAAGCTAGCACATTTACTTACTGCCATCGTGGACAGCCATAAGTTGATCACAACACTATATATATTAACAATAATCCAATGCAGGGAAATGGAACAACGAAATTAAATCTAACACATAAACAGAAGCACAATAAAGATTTTGATTCGGCTCCATCCCATAAAAAGAAGCACCACGATGCTTTCATTTCCTAGCTTTCTTGGTGGGCCTCGAAGAATTAATGGGTTTGGGAGTACTCTTGCGCTTCATAGGGGTCAAGTTGGGCTTCTTCTTCACGGCTTCAGGGGTCTTCACCTGACTCAGACGCTTCACTTTTTTCCCTCCTGAGGTTGCCACAGTTTTCTTCTTAGTTGCATCCTTGTTGGTGTTGGTGGTGGTGGAGGTTTTTTTCTTGAGAGCCTCGGGTGTCTTCACCTGACTCAGTTTCTTGGTTTTCTCTGCGATCTTCTTGCCACCCTTCTGCTTCGGCGGCGGAGTGGTCTTTTTGGTGGCTTTGGAGGCGGTTTTGCTCTTCTGGGTTTCATGGTCCTTTGAAGAGATCTTGTAGGAGTTCTTCACCTTGTAAAGCCTCTCCGATTTGACGAAGTTCTTCAACTGGAGGGAGAGCATTTTCCTGAAGTTTGGAGGCAGCACTTTCTTGTGTTTGTCTTCGATGAACTTTGCTATTGCTTGATGGCTCGAACCAGTGCGCTCTTTCAACGTGGAAATAGCATCCGCTATCATCTGCAAACAAAAACAAAAACAAAAACAAAACAAAACCCCATCATTAAAAATCTCAAATAAATGAGACGGGACAGAGTAGAGAAAGGAAAATATGATGAGAGAGAGAGAGAGAGAGAGAGACTTCGAAGTAGGGAGGGTGGAGGCTGGCGGAGGGGGATTTTTTCCCTTTTGCCATTTTTTGAGACTCTGATGTGATGAAGATTGAGAAATGAGAATTTTGGGATTTCAGTATGAGAAAGCAAAAAATATCTTTAGGGCACTGTTATAAAAGGATAGAGATAAGTAAAGTGGTGACTGGTGACTACATAGAATGTTTGTTATTTTTTTTTTACCCTGTTAGGGGATTGGGATGTGATGGAAGGGAAACTGCCAGTGCCACAAAATAAGATTTATTTAGATTTTAGATTAATTCATCGCCAAAACTGAATTTGAATTTCAATTTTCAATTAGATTTTGGCGGCTTACCACTGGTGGTGTGGTGTTGGCCTGTTGGGCCACAAAAATAAAATAAACAACCGTCTAAACTTTAACCATGTTCCTGGTCTTTCCGATTTTTCTGGAACTTACAACCTTATCACGCAATCGTGGCCGTCGTGGGACAATAGAGTATTCTTTTTTTCGACCTTGTTAGTGTTAGTATCATTTCTTCGATTGTTACATGTTAGATGTTAGTAGTATAATTAGTGTAATAAAACTTTGTACTGTGATGAGGAACATAAATGTTACATAGAATTCGAGCATGAGACCAATACGTCTTATCGAGCTCAAAATGATAAAGAAAATAAATATACACGTCTGAAGACTCTGAACCCTTCTCTCAAGATGATATCGAATCCGAAATTTTCTTCCTTAGTCGTTAATATATTTGGCATTATTTTTAATATGAACAAAAATCTAATAGAACTGTCTTGGATGAATGAAATTAATTGAATCTCTCGTCACTAATGGAATAATCATTAAGGGGAAGTGAACATACATGTTAGTTTAAGGGAAAAACTATTTTTATGTTGTATAAAATATTTTTTTTTCTGCACACTATTCGATAACTGTGTCACTTTTTTTTTTAAGTGGTGAAATTTAAAATTTATTTCTATGACATGAGATAACTATCTTCTTTAATATAAAATTAATAAATCCCTTAGTTTAATGCTTACAAAAATCACACACAAATAAGGTCTTATCGCGACAGAAGGATAGGACAAGTGGACTACGGAAACCAGTTCTTTTTGAAAAAACTGATGACAGGCTTATGGTGGACCTGAATGGGCATGCATAAGGCCATTTTGTCGCCCCATACCATAAGCCACGTATTCCTCAGTCCTTTTCAAATTCCAATCTCCATTCATTTCCCACAGGCTTTATCACTTCCATTGGAATTTTATATGCTATCTACGATCAAACAATGAAGCCTAAGCCAAAAAGAAGAAGAGAGAATTAAGAAAATATTTTCATTTAAATTAGAGAGATTTTTTTGTTGAGTTATTATTTTTCAATTAAAGGATCAGGGAAGGGGGGCGAGACTCATCTACAGTAAACTGGTCGAACCTCATGTCAAATTCTCAATCAAATATGCTAAAAAATATATATTGTGATCTTAATCAATTAAATTTAAAGGGAAGAATATTGTGACAACCAAATGATGTTACTACTAAGTGAGTACCAATCAATCTTATCGTTATATTGACCCAACGGTTATATTTATTTTCATCTTTGTATGGTCATGATTCTCCAAATTTAATACTTTATATTTATTTTCACCTTTGTATGATTACGATTTCACATATTTAATGCTTTCACTTTAAATATGGAGAATCATGACCATACAAAGATGAAAATAAATATAACCGTTGGATCAACATAATCGATCTAACGGCGAGATTGATTGGTAGTCACTTGATAGTAACACAACTTGATTGTCATAATATCCTTCCCCTAAATGTAAAAGTAGATATGTTTTTACTCGCTTTCTAATAGAAGGGGACAAAGAATTAAATCCCACTTCCATAACCAATAAAACAATTGTTCAAAATAAAAAAACAAACAAGACTTCCGCGTATTGCTCGTTTAGGTGCACAGGCGGCAGAATCACCCTACGAATTTCCCCTCTGTTTAGTTCAAACCCATTTTTATAAGGAGATTTTTGGTAGAGATTTTTTTTTTAAATTCAAAAATTATGATTTTCAGAAAAAGAATAACATCTGTCATTTTAAAAGATATAAGCTTATATCTTTTTAGATCCTAATCGTTGATTTCCGTCCATCAACGGTTATAATTTATTAGATCAAAATTATTAATTAATTAATAATAAATTTGGCCCATTAAATTTGACCCAATAGATTATAACCGTTGATGGACGGAAATCAACGGTTAGGATTTAAAAAGATATAAGCTTATATCCTTTAATAGGATAGATGTTTTTCTCTTTCAGAAATATGGTAAAAAAAATAAACTTTTTGAAAAAGTTATCAAAAAGTTTCTTGACAAGTCATAATATTCACAAGAATGTTAGATTATTTTTCTTGATGTTATATTTAATTGACGGTAAAATATTGCTGGAATGTGGATTGAGGTTAATTACGTTTCAAAAAAATTATTAAATATTCTCATTATATGAGATTCTCAAAATATCATCATTTGGTGATATTTTAAGGTAGAATTTTTCTTTATAAACATGAATTCAACTTTTTTTAATTTTTTTTTTTTAATTCTTGTACTAAATAAGTATAAATGAAATTCTCATCTCATTTTTCTAGGATTTTGGTATTTTTTCTTTGGCAAAATCTTTTTTTTATGTTGTAGGCAATTTTTTCTCTCATATCTTAGAAACATTGTTAGGATGGATCCCACCATTTTCTTGAAAACAAAAAAAAATATTAAAGAAAAAAAATCATTGTGAGAAAACAGGAGATGACTTCTCCCCAACTACAGGAGAAAATCATTTTCCTCTTCTTTTACCAAACACTCCTTTACAAAATTTGACAACATTCCTCATCACATCTCTGACCACTTACCAATAACGTACCACTAGTTCTGTAGTTCATCCAGGATCGTCTCGATCTATGTACTGCATGTATCCGAATCGCCTCTTCTGGAAAAAAATTGAGTAAATACCCTATTTAGTCCCTGGAAATATCCACGAAGCCCTTTTCAGTCGCTAGCAATAAAAAAGAGACAAATTGGTCCGTTAAATAACAAAAAAGAGGTCACGTTCATCCTTCTGTTAACTCCCACCTAACGGCCCAACTAACGGTGCACAGTTGGCACGTTAGTTTGTTGGCGTGGCTTGGATGTGGGACACCGTGAAAGATGAAACGACGACGTTTGGTCCCTGTCAAAACCACGAGACCATTTTGGTCCCTGTCAAAATGCACAAGGACGTTTTTAGTCCCTGACAAAAAGCATGGGGCCCTTATTGGTCCCTAACCAGAGAAAAATAGGAACATAACTTCATTGCTTTTCTATGCAGTCCAATTTTGCAAAATAGAAGTGCATTACATCAGAAACAGGAGTGTAATCCAATTTTGCAAAACAGAAACATGACATTAAATTGAATTTGTATGCAGTCCAATTTGTTAAACCAGAAGACATGGATGTACAAGAACTACAACTACGTATATTAGTTAAAAAACATCAAAAATGGTAAACTTAAACATTCATCAACCCTGTGAAACATAATAGCTGGAACATGATTTGAGTATCATTATATTTGAAGACATGGATGTACAGTAGTGCATTACAAAATAAAGCCAACTGCCAGGAATTAAAAAAAAGGCCTTTAATACAATATGGCCAGAATTTACAAAAAAAACATTGACATAATAAGGCCTCCAAATACATAATGGCCAAAATTTTCAAAAAAAGTCAGTCACATAATAATAAACCCTTCTCAGTTGGCTCATGCACTACCCTCAGGTCATATACAACAGCAAGTCATTTTCTTGAGGCAGACCTTGGTGGCCTAAAACCAGGTGTGCTCAAGAAGGCCAATAATCTGCTTCGTGTGCCACTGGTTGTTGCATTCATTGTTTCATTACTCAACAGCTCATTTGTTTGTTGTGGATTTAATGGAGGTGGGCTGCTTCCTCTCTAGTTGCCTTCATGTGGCCGAGAAGTACCAACTGCTGCAGTCCAGTCAACTGCCATGCATTGTAATTATTAACAATAATTTACCTGGCTTCTTCTCTGATTTTTCTCTGTATTTAAATATCAACTATCATGCAATTATCTTTTATAGAAAAATAAATAGTATAATTGTAATGCTACACTACTGAAGTTATTGTTCGTAAATCGCAAAACGCTATGTCTTATACAGACTAAGAGAATTAAAGCAGTTCATAGTATTCTAGGGATCGTAAAAGCTGTTTGCAAGAGTCAAGAATCTCTTTTAACAAAGTGGGAAACTTAATTAGCATTGAAAAAGAAATGAATAATCGTTAATAAGGTCGAAACTTCAGTTAGAAACACAAACTTCATTGGAATAAAATGCCAAGAAGGAGTATTTTACTTTGTGATGAAATTTAGTTTAATTACTTCGTGATGAACAAATGGATTGCACTCCTGTTTCTGATGTAATGCACTTCTGTTTTACAAAATTGGACTGCATAAAAAAGCAATGAAGTCATGTGCCTATTTTTCTCTGGTTAGGGACCAATAAGGGCCCCGTGCTTTTTGTCAGGGACTAAAAACGTCCTCGTGCATTTTGACAGGGACCAAAATGGCCCTCGTGGTTTTGATAGGGACCAAAACGTCGTCGTCTCGTCTTCCACGGTGTCCTACATCCAAGTCGCGTCAGCAAACTAACATGCCAATTGTGCACCGTTAGTTGGGCCGTTAGGTGGGAGTTAACAGAAGGATGAACGCGGCCTTTTTTTTGTTATTTCAGGGACCAATTTGTCCCTTTTTTATTGCTAGGGACTGAAAAGGGCTTCGTGGATATTGTCAGGGACTAAAAAAGTTATTTACTCAAAAAAAAATATTGGATTAGTAATAATAATCATATGGGAATCATAATGGATGAATAATAATAAAGTAAGAGATATAAAAAATATTACAATAGGTGGTTATAAAATTATATTCATTGATTTACTTTTACATGGTTGTAATCTTTTCACATAACTATATCATATTTTTCTCCACATAAGTGGCTTCATTTTTTTTTTTGAAAATATTCCAATCGATTCATCACTCTACCACCATTTGATAAGCGAGGATCCATTTCAGTTAGAGTTGGCAAAACGGTCTAACCCGGCTTAACCCGTTTGCGATCTGAAAAAAACGAGCCGGGTTAAGGTTGACTCGAAAAAAAAACGAGTTAGAAAATCCAACCCAATCCAACTTGAGCTATGTTAGGGTTGACTCGAAAAAATGGCAAAAAAATAGTCTTTGTCACACTTATCGAGTACATGTGGTGGGAAAACTAAGGAAATTGTTTTAATTTGATATAAGATATTTACTGCAAAGAAAAACACTTAATATAAGATACTTAGTCGTTGAGTATAATTAAATTAACAAGTTACACGACCAAAACAAGAACTCAAAATACATCACATAAGGTCTAATACTTCATTAAAAGTTTCCAAACAAAATATTCCAAGTCCAACAAGACATAATGCTAAACCAAATCAAGTTTCATGAGTTTTTAGGGAATGACAACGACAACAGCAAAGCCAACGTACGTATGCATTTGGGATTTAGCCTTTAGTTTTTTTGGAATAGATCTGGCCCCTTTATAATTCTTTTGTATTTTTTTAATAAAAAGGATAACCTGTGAGTTGACCCATTTAACCCACGGGTTGGCTCGATTTTTCTCGAGATTGTCAACTCATTTTTTACGGACCCAATCCGACTCATTTTATATTGTTATGGGTTGACTCATTTTTGCTATCCTTAATTTCAGTACGGCATAGAGCTCCGGGATGAATGATACATGGGTAATAAACCACAACCTCGTACTGAACAAAAAAACTTAAGTCACTCATCGTCTCATTAAGTAGCATATTAAGTAAAGCTTTGTTTATGCAAGATATAAGAAACAAAAAAAAAAAGGAGCCATCAATATGGTAAAACGTAAATATTAATTGTCAGAGAAATATAAAAAAATCATATAGATAAACATTCATTCATTGGCTTAAGCTTTTGGTTAAATTAGTTGTTTTACATAATAGTTAAATCTACCTAACCACGGAATTACTTGTTCGATATTCAACTTCCACTTTCTAATGGAATTAAATTAGCCAAAGTAAAAAAAATAAGCATTTGCAATAATTCATGTTTCGAACTCAAAAGACTCTTACATAGGAAGATGTATTAAAGAAATATAAAAAACTTCACTTTAGTCATAAGTTCGATGCTCATGCTATCACTTTGTAATGGAACAACATAAGGTAAAATTAGGGATGTTCGCGGTCTGGATTGGATCGGTTTTGGAGGCAAAAATCATCTGATCCAATCCCTTCGGTTTGATCATGTAATCGTCCATTCGGTTTGGATTTTTTTCAAATCCGATCCGATCCAATCGAATTTGTTTCGGTTTTTGAAAATCCTAAAATTTGTTTCATTATTGTTGTGCAAATAACATCTTTTGTATATATTGGCTTTGTATTTTTATTTTTTAAATACAAAGCATCAGTAAACGATAATATTTTTTTTTTTACAATGAGATACGAAGCTCTACATAGATGAAATTTTGTTGATGAGATATGATTAAATTTTTTCTTGGGTTTAGTTGATGGATTAATGGATCTTGGGTTTAGAAATTTTTGGGCTATGATTGAGGAAATACCCAAGTAGGTAGAGGAAAATTAATATATTGAATCAGTTTCGATTGGATCAGTTTTCATCTACCAATCCAAAATCCGATCCAATCCAATTTAAATTTGCGGTTTTTTTATTTATTTTCGGTTTTCGATTTTTCAGTTTGGTCACCACGATTTGAATCGGTTGATAAACACCTTTACGTAAAATATAAAAAAATGGGTTCGTGCTTCAAGCCCAAAGAATAATATAAAACCATTGAATGTTATCAAAAAAAAAAAAAACCATTGAAAATCCATCATTTATTGAGTTGAATTGGAGGTTATGCCATCTATGGGATGATAGAACAACGACATTAAATGAGTTTATACACCACAATCAAATCAAAAATCTTAAGATATTAAATATATAAATTCTTCCAGTTATATAATAGTCACTTTTCCATTGTTAACCAACTTATGACTTCACTCACAATTCCTCAGCAACATTAATGAAATTACACCAATTATTTGATCATTAAACAGTAATCAATGATACAAAGTTAAACAACATTTGACAAAGTGCCACAAATACATCAAAAGAGACACACTAACATCATTCATCAGCCAAGCCTAATTGTTGTCCTTTCTTCCTTCTTTTTGTTTACTGAAATGTTGTCCTTTCTTCAGTACCTCCCACCATGAGTGCTCTCACTTTTCGTTCATTTCTTCGTGCAAATGTTTTAGTCCACCAGTACACATACTGAAGTAATAACACAGCGGACAAGAATTACCAAAATAATGCATCTACCAAATGAACAAGTAATATTCTCGAGAAGTGCAGCGTTAGCATCATCTTTCCACCGTCGTTATCATCTGGTTCATAGCCTGGAGGAAATGGCGTTCCTGGTGGGAAGTAAGGTTGGTCCGGTGGATATTGAGGTCGTGGTGGTCCTGGTGTCGACGGCATAGGTGGTACTGGTGATGGTAAGCAGGTATTATTATCTTCACATGGTGGTTTTGGTGGCGGAAGCGTCTCGCAAGGGCCACATGTTGGTTTTGGCGGCGGTGGGCATTCAACAACTGCAGGTGGCGGTGGAGGTGGAGGTGATGGTGGCGGTGGCGATGGAGGCTGAGGTGGTGGGCACTCTATCATAATGGGAGGTGGTGGAGGTGGCTGCAGGGGTTGGCATGGATTCTCGCACTCCGAGCACATTGTGCAAGGAACTTGGTCTTTTGCCACTGTTGAAGTTGGTTGGGTGATGGCTGAAACATTTGATGGTAGTGTTGATACAAACATGATAATGGAAAAGGTGAGCAGCAGAGGCGAATTAGCCATGTTTTTGATGAGTTGGGAATTGTGTGTTCCAGAGAGATGGAAGGAGAAGCTATATGGAAAGAAGTGTACAAGAAAAAGAGAGAGCACGAATATGATTGTGCTTCGGTGACCTCACCATTTGTCGGTGTTTTATCGTCTACGATATTGTCTCATCTGAGCATCATCAAATCTAGAACCAAAGCATGTGAAACACACAATTTCAAATGTTTCACTGATATACACACAGACACAATATAGTTTACCTGATACAGGCTTCATCACAAGTTAACTTTTTTATTTATTTATTGTATCTACTCTTTTTTTATTTTTTATACATAGAATGTATCTACTTCTATGAAGGATTAGTTTTCCATATTTGATAAATTTACACAATAGTTCAAATTTTTAGAGAAAATAATCTTAATATTAATTGTTCTATGTATATACTCTTATTTGGGGACCATTTTCTGGTCGGTAATCTAGGACAAGAGATGGACAATGCTAAAGGCTGATTCTATCAGACTTATCTAGTCCTGTTAATATATGCATATAGATATATGATAGATCTATTAGCTGAATCTAGAGAACCATATATATATATATGAATTTATGCACCGATTCTGGCTAGCTAGGTATGTGAAACTCTATAATCCATATATATATGGGGACGAAATTCGATGCTACAAACTTTGGATTCGTGAAATGAAGTGTCAGTCAGTCATTTATGGAGCAGAGGGAAAAATTTAATATGTGGTCCTTTTGTTATAAACGGATTTTTTTTTCATTTCTATCCTTTTTATTTTTATTTTTTCCTCCACAATTTTTCATTTTTTTTTTTTATATTTTGAGAAGTAACTACCATGATTCAGACTCACAAAACAACTTCTATGGAGCAGGGCAGTTCATCGGGCTCAACAAAACCAGCTCACTAATTATTCTATAAAATAATGTTTTTTTAAATTATGTTATATGATAATTAATGAAATAAATATTTTTTATATTTTGTTTAAAAATTAAAAATCAAAACACAAAAAAATAATAATTTAAATATGTTCTATAAATTTAATTCTAAAAACTAAAAAACAGTTATAAATTTCAGAATAATTTTTATAAAACAATCCTTATTAAATATATATTTTATTTATTTTTTGGTTCTATAAATAATTTTTAAAAAAAAAATAGAATTCAAACATGTCCTTAATCTCTATTTTTAGCTCATGACGTTTGACACATAGTTAGAGTCTTAGATGGGCCTGAACTTATAACTCCATATTCAGATTTTATATACGGTTTGAATAATACAGTTAAAATTAAAATCGAATTTTGTTAATTTTTTTTGAATTATAATTATAATTTTAAGAATTTAAAAAAAAAAAGTGTTTTCTCTTTTTTCTCGAAAAGCATTTGATTGATAAGATTTCTTACACCTTTTCCATTTAAATGCGAATATGACGTGGGATTTTTTTTTTTTTTAATTTGAATTAAGACACAGTACTAACGTTTGAAAAGCGGGTTCAGCTTTGGGCATTCCAACCAGGTGTGAGTCCAACGCAACGCAACAACAATTTATGCTTTCCGAGAGAGAGGGCAGAGATAAAGATAAGGGCATGAAATGAAATGAAGGAAGAAAGAAAAACAGAGGAAATAATGGAAGGAAAGTTGTCACGTGCAGCAAAGAAGCTTACATCATCTCCCATTCAAGAACTCTCTCACCTTGCTCAGAGATGCAACGCCATCAACCTCGCTGAAGGCTTCCCCGACTTCCCCGCGCCTCCCCACATCAAAAACGCTGCCGTTTCAGCCATCAATTCCGACTTCAACCAGTACAGGTTCATTCACTTCACAAAACTAGAAACAATAGTGACATAAGCTTATATATATATATGTGCTCTCTCTTTTTCAACAATTGATGGAATCTACCCTTTTTAACTTGAGGCACGTGCAAGGTATTTGTGATCACCTGACAAAGATGGTGAAGGAAATGCATGGTTTAAATATCGACCCTCTTACGGACGTAGCTATTTGCTGTGGTCAAACTGAGGCATTTGCAGCTGCAATCTTTGCAAGTATGCTCTCTTGTTCTTGTTAGTTCATGAGCTTCAGTATTATGAGTTAGTTAGATATCATTAACATCGCATGTTCTGTTTGGTAACAGCAATTGACCCGGGTGATCAAGTCATACTGTTTGACCCTTCGTATGAAACATATGAAGGATGTGTTACCATGGCCGGTGGAGTCCCTGTAAGTAAGCTTGCTGTTACAAACTACCTTAGCTCTATGGTTTTTAACTATTTTTATCTTGGGGGTAGATCTATCTAGTATCTAGTGTTCTTTCCAAAACTTTTCTGCAGCTAATCTATATACAATCTAATGATCCTTGATGTTTGTTGTCTCTTTCAAGTGTTTTTGATTTGACATTTTTATCATTTTGTCCTTTGTCTAATGTCCTCTTGATTTTTGTGAACTTAATTGGACAGATATACGTGCCACTTGACCCGCCTCAGTGGACGCTGGATCCAAGCAAATTGCTGAGATCATTTACTGAGAGAACTAAAGCCATAATACTGAACAGGCTAGAAATTACACACATTCATAATTTTCTCGACTTTAGATAGACTGAATCTCATCTTTGTAAGCTTCAGATTTATCCTACAACCAACAGAATAGCGACTTGAGTGATATATATATATATATATATATATATATATATATATATATATATATATATATATTTAATAAAAAAAGTGAATAAGAAATACCAGTACTATCAATTTATGGTTTAAGTTAGTAACCATATGAAATTATGAATGTTACAAGTGTTTCATAGTATCCATTCTGTGTAGTCTGATATCCCAAATTTTGTGAGGGCAATTGCAATTCATGAAGAAGTTTGGTGTGTTATTTATGTTTCATTTTCCCCTGGTTCAAAATTTTAGTCTTTCACACGGCTTGCACTGTGAAAAGAGTAAAGTATTAAGGAAATGCTTTTATTTTCTCTCATTGTTTCGGATGCTTGAAATGACTATATTATAATAATAACAATCACTTACTAAAAAATGTTTTTTGTTATGCATCAAAATGTTTGAAAGAGATGCTCAGTGGAGTCAGTCTCACATTATGAATTACAAAATGCTGACATGAGGTTTAAACAGCCCTCACAATCCAACTGGCAAAGTCTTCACACAAGATGAACTTGAGACTATTGCTGGAGCATGCTGCAGCCGAAATTGCTTCGCTATAACAGATGAAGTATGATACTCCCTTACTATGCACTGATAGAGATTAGTTTTAGGATTTAAACAATATATTTATGTGATGAATTAAAATTGATACTCATGTTCCATGTGAATCTCCTGCCGGTACTACTATTAAGTGTAATGAGAGGAAATATGGGCCCTAGAGGCTAGAGCACATATATGTTGTTTTACGGTGCCACAATTTTTGCATAAGTGTGTTATCAACTTATACATGTTAACTATCTCTGATGACAGTGACTTTTTTTTCCTATTAATTAGTTTTCACTTTTCATAGACAAATAGGTTTCATGCTTCTTATTTGCTTTTTATTTGGATTATCATCTCTATGAATTTGCATATGCACAAGAAAAATTACTTGGAATTTTAACTTTTGGATTTTTTATGCAGGTGTACGAGCATATAACATATGACAACGAAAAACATATTTCCCTTGCCTCATTTCCAGGAATGCAAGAGCGGACTATTATAACATCTTCTTTGTCTAAAACATTTAGTGTCACAGGTAACAAAGCTGCATGAAACCAAACTGCACTGGAAGTTTTTTAAGTGCTCTCATCCTTGCTAATAAGAATGGCATTTACTCACTGTTGGTCTGTCTTCTATCAGGTTGGAGGGTTGGATGGGCGATTGCACCAGCTTTTCTTGCATCTGCTATCAGAAATATTCACACTAAAGTTACAGATTCTGCTCCAGCACCTTTTCAAGAAGCCGCGTTGACTGCTTTGAGAAGCCCCCCAGAATACTTTGAAAAACTGAGAAGAGTAAGAGATTAAAAGTACATTTGAGGAGACATCGTACAACTGTTTATCTTATATAACTAGAAAAAGCAGAACTTTGATGTCATTATTCACCCCCCTCCCCACAAAAAAAAAAAAAGAACAACTCATGCAATGCTATGTTTCTATCTATACAGGACTATCAATCAAAAAGAGACTATATCATCAAGTTGCTTGCAGGAGTAGGTTTTAAGATACAGTTTATACCTCAGGGTTCCTTCTTCTTATTTGCTGAGCTTCCTGACAATTGCTCCCTTTCTGATGTATGTGCACTCTTTACTCTCTTCTACTGGATATTACTATATTAGTTTAGGAACTATTTTAATTGTCGTAGTCCATTTGAGTTTGGATTATTCTGCAGTACATTATGTCATAACTTTCTCTCTCCCATGATTTCCATTTTTTCTGTATCTATCTCTCTCCTAAAATGACATAACTTATGTCATTTAAAATGACAAACACCAAACCCTTACTTTATAGCATTAAATGTTTTTTGTTCGCAGGTAGAATTTGTTAAGAAACTAATACTAGAAGCAGGGGTGGTGGCTGTGCCGGGACAAGGATTTTTTCGTACAAACTCATCATCGAATGAAGTTTCTAACGTAAATTGTTATTACCAAAAGAGATACATCAGGTTCGCATTCTGCAAGAGCGATGCAACTTTGGCTGCGGTTTCAGAAAGACTTGGTAAGCTTTTGGATGCGGCAGGGCATCTTTCACTACATTAAATTGGCAGAAAGAGTAATGGATGACAGGAACAACTAGAGATCGAGGGTACAAAAGTTTTGTTCGAATTAATAAAGCTTGTACTAAAGATTAATTTTTGACCTGAAGACTATGTGAAATATAGCTTGTATTTGATTCATTGCTGTTGAAAGGAAGTTTGTAAATTTAAATTACTGTTACAAAGTTGTTTTAAAATTACTGTTACAAAGTTGTTTATATTTTAAAACCACTGTGATCAGATTGAATAGGATAGAGTTGTTAGGATATTTTTCCTATTATTATTCAGAGAGTTGTTTTGTACACTTGTATATATACCTCATTAAAGAGGAAGATGATATATGAATGAAAAAGCATCATTATTCACCTGTATTGCATTCTGACATGGTATCAGCCTTTTGATCTTGGGAATCATTCCCGCCTCAATTTTTTTTCCAACACCCGTACACCACACCCTCTTCCTCCTTCTTTTATACAACCCGACCCATTTCCTCCTCTCTTTTTTGTTAACCAACCTGTACCCCACCCGTAACTCATCCGTAACCCAATCGATCTAAATTCCTAATTCCCAAATTCAATGGCCACCGTCAACCCTCCAAATGACTCCAATGACTCCAACCCTCTCTCAAATCCCCCAGCCACCGTCACTTCCCCTGTACCCTCTAATATTGTTATTCAACAAGACACCTCCTCGTTCCCCATTACTGTTGTCCTTGATGATAACAACTATCCTCTTTGGTCCCAACTAATGGACATGAGGATCGGAGCTCGGAACAAGTCGGGATTTCTCACTGGAACCACAACGAAACCAGCAACCACTGATCCGACGTATGAATCCTGGATCACCGACAACAAGCGGGTGAAAAGTTGGTTGATCGACTCGATGACTCCTCAACTGATGCAACGCTTCATCCGCCTCGACTCCGCTCATGAAATCTGGGATGCGGCTCGCCGGACCTTTTATGATGGTTCAGATGAAACTTGCCTTTTCGAACTCAACCAACGCTCCTTCTCAACCAAGCAAAACGGTCGTCCTCTGTCTACATACTACAATGAACTCCTCTCCATATTTCAAGAAATTGATCACCGAATGACCTCCCCTGCCACCACCGTGAACGAAATACTTCAAACACACTCATCCCTGTCTCGTATGCGTGTCCACATCTTCCTTAGTGGACTGGACTCTGATTTCGACCAAGTCCGTGGTGAAATCCTTCGAAAAGATCCCAAATTGGATTTGGAAAACTCGTATGCATATGTTCGGCGAGAATATCAGCAGCGTATTACCATGGGCCGTCCTTCACTCACATCAGATTCTTCGGCCCTACTGTCACAGGTTCCTCGACCTTCCCCTGTTCCTCCTAAATTTCGCAAAGAGGGTTCTTCTGGGAAAACCCTTGTTTGTTCACACTGTGGTGAATCTGGACATTCAAAGACTCGTTGCTATAAAATTGTTGGATATCCTGAGTGGTGGGATTTTAACAAGCGTCCTCGCAGAAAGGTACTATCCAAAGCCCTCCAGTCTTCCACCGAAGGTGAATCCTCTCCACACCCTCGTGCTAATGCTGTGTATGAAGGAATTTTAGGTAACTCTCTTACTCTTTCTGCTCACTCTCGGAATTCTTCATGGATAATTGACACTGGGGCGTCAGATCATATGATTCGTGATGCCTCCGCCCTACAAAATTGCTTTCCTTGCCCAACAACCACTATCACCACTGCTAATGGTGGTTCTGCTTCTGTTACTGGTCAGGGTACCGTTGTTCTTACCCCCCACATTACTCTTCACTCTGTGCTTCTTGTTCCCTCTCTAGACTTTAATTTACTCTCAGTCAGTCGTCTTACCTCTCACATTAACTGTAATGTTATTTTTTATCCCACGTTTTGTGTCTTTCAGGACGTCCAGAACTAGGTGATTGGCTATGGTGTTAGACGAGGAAATCTCTACTTCTTGGACCTCTCTGTTGATGAACCAGATCCACATGGAAGAGCCTCTGTGACTACATCTCCAGGTTCTTCCCACTCTACTGCTTGGCTTTGGCATAGAAGACTCGGACATCTCTCCTTCAGTTATCTTAAAAGATTGCTTCCAAATTTATTTTCCAATTTTAATTCTTCTAAATTTCAATGCTCTATTTGTGAAATGGCTAAAAGCCATCGAATTCCATTTTATCCAAGTATGAATAAAAGTTGCATTCCTTTTCAAGTTGTCCATTCTGATGTTTGGGGACCTGCTAAGATCCCATCTTTCTCTCAAGCTTATTATTATGTATCTTTCATTGATGAGTGTACCCGTATGGTGTGGATTTCCTTACTCAAACATAAAAATGAAGTCTTCTCTGCCTTTAAAAAATTTCATAGCATGGTTCATACCCAATTCAACAGTACCATTCAAGTTCTTCAATCGGATAATGGCCTAGAATACAAGAATGGTTCCTTCTCTGAGTTCTTAACCTCCTGTGGTATTAAACATCAAACCTCCTGTACGTATACACCTCAACAAAATGGGTTGGCAGAACGGAAAAATAGACAACTCTTAGAAATAGTACGCGCTTCCCTTTTTGATATGAATGTACCTTCTCATTATTGGGGTGAGGCTGTTCTCTCCGCTGCATATTTGGTGAATCGTACTCCTTCTAGTGCCATCAATTTTCTCACCCCCCAACAAAAATTGGAGACTTTTTTCTCTATTCCCCATAAAATGAATCTTGAACCCCGAATATTTGGCTGCATTACTTATGTTCACATTCCCAAACCTCTTCGAAATAAACTTGATCCTTGTGCTCGAAAATGCATTTTTGTAGGCTATTCTGATCTCCAAAAAGGATACAGATGTTTTGATCCCAAGTCCCATAAAATGTTTGTCACCCTTGAAGTTTCCTTTAGAGAAACCGAACCCTTCTATTCAGGGGGAGCCCCTTCTTCTCCTTCTCAGGGGGAGATTCAGCATATTAGAGAAGGAGAATTTTGGTTATCATCCCATGTGACCCCTATTCCGGCACCCCCTCTTCCTACAAATCAAATTCCTCCTCAAGTTCCAATCTCTGAACCACCTGAAACAATCCATCATAGTACAGACCCTCCTTCACCGCATGAGATTCCAAGTTTACCACACATAGCTGAGTCACCTGCAGAGGACAACACTGAAGCACAAGCAGAAACCACTACTGAGGTAAGTCCTGTCCGTAATATAGAACTTTCAATTACTACTCCTAGCATCCCATCCCCACAAGTCAGAAGGTCAGATAGACCAACCAAAGGTATACCAAAACCTTTTTATGAAGCAGATCCAAAAGCAAAAGTCAAGTATCCCATAAGCAATTATGTTTCCTCTCACAAGCTATCCGGATCATATGCTCTAACACTCAATCAATTATCCACTGTATCTCTTTCTAATAGTGTGCAGGAAGCGTTGGAGGACCCAAAATGGAAACAAGCAATGAACATCGAAATGGAAGCACTCCAAAAGAATGAAACATGGATGTTAACTTCCTTACCTAATGGCAAAAGAAAAATTGGATGCAAGTGGGTGTACACCGTAAAGCTCAAGGCAGATGGAAGTATTGATAGATACAAAGCGAGACTTGTGGCAAAAGGATAAACACAAAAGTATGGTGTGGACTATCAAGACACATTTGCTCCCGTGGCTAAACTTAACACAATTCGGATCCTCATATCCATAGCAGCCAACAGAGACTGGCCCCTAAAACAATTTGACGTAAAAAATGCCTTCTTGAATGGTGATTTAGAAGAAGAGGTATACATGGAGGTTCCACCAGGAGTAAAGCTAGCACCTTCAAAAGATAATGTAGTCTGCAAATTGAAGAAGGCTTTGTATGGTCTCAAACAATCACCTAGGGCATGGTTTGGAAGGTTCACTGTGGCAATGAAGAAGTTTGGATATAAACAAAGTAACTCAGATCATACATTGTTCATAAAACATAACAATAGGAAGGTAGCTATACTCATTGTCTATGTGGATGATATGGTACTAACAGGGGATGATGTGGAAGAAATGAAGTTACTTGAAAAAAGATTAGCCTCTGAATTCGAAATGAAGGATCTAGGCCAATTAAAATACTTCCTTGGGATAGAAATTGCAAGATCCAAACAAGGCATATTTTTATCTCAAAGAAAGTACATCTTGGACCTCCTAGCCGAAACAGGAATGATGGCTTGTAAGCCAACTGATACACCAATTGAGATGAACCACTCACTGGCTATATACCCAAATCAGATTAAAGCAGACAAGGACAGATATCAAAGGTTAGTAGGGAAGTTAATTTATCTGTCACACACTAGACCTGATATTGCCTATTCAGTTAGTGTGGTAAGTAGGTTCATGCACTCTCCTAGTGAAGAACACATGAATGCAGTATATCGCATTCTCAGATACCTCAAGGGTTCACCAGGAAAAGGTCTTTTATACTCCAAAAAAGGTAATAAAACCAGCATAGAAGGGTACACTGATTCAGACTGGGCTGGAGATAAAACTACTAGGCAATCAACTTCAGGATACTTTACTTTTGTAGAAGGCAACCTAGTCACTTGGAAAAGCAAGAAACAAAAAGTGATTGCAAGATCTAGTGCAGAGGCCGAATACAGAGGGATGACTCAAGGTGTTTGTGAACTCCTATGGATTAAAAGCATTCTTATGGATCTGGGAATTATGTATGAAGAACCTATGAACTTATACTGTGATAATAAAGCTGCAATAGACATTGCCCACAACTCTGTACAACATGATAGAACAAAACATGTTGAAATAGATAGGCATTTCATTAAAGAAAAGTTGGATGGAAAGATTATTCAAACTCCCTATTTACGGTCTGAAGAACAGATTGCAGATGTACTAACTAAAGCCGTATCAGGAAGAGCCTTTGAAGAAATGACTAACAAGTTGGGCATGATTGACATACATGCACCAACTTGAGGGAGAGTGTTGAAAGGAAGTTTGTAAATTTAAATTACTGTTACAAAGTTGTTTTAAAATTACTGTTACAAAGTTGTTTATATTTTAAAACCACTGTGATCAGATTGAATAGGATGTAGAGTTGTTAGGATATTTTTCCTATTATTATTCAGATAGTTGTTTTGTACACTTGTATATATACCTCATTAAAGAGGAAGATGATATATGAATGAAAAAGCATCATTATTCACCTGTATTGCATTCTGACAATTGCTGTACCATCTTCCTCTGCCCACGGCTTTCGACCTTTTACCTGTGGCAGAAATCCAATCATCCAGCAATTATATCCAACCCTGTACTTTGGGTCCTAACAAAAATCATGCAATACTTATGTCTGACTGTCTTGTATAATTGGTTTAACAGGATCAAGCTGTATTGTTTTGTCGAAGCTATTAAACATACTGGAGATACAAGCACATTATATTACCAATATTTTTTTTTTTGAAATTTCCTTGGCACCTCTTCTTAAAGGTATATCTTTAGTCCAAGAATGAAGAACATCTCAGGCTGCTGAGAAACAATACCAGGAAGCTTTAGAGGTGAATATTTGGCTTTATAACCGTAAATGATTACTAATAAAAGATCACAAGCAATGAATTGCAAATCTAGCACCAGCACACCTCTCTCTATATATATATATATATATATATATATATATATATATATATATATATATATATATATATATATATTATTTTTTTAATGGTGAATATTTTTATCAATAACCCTAAATTTCTTCATCCTTATATATATATATATATATATATATATATATATAGGGTCAGGATCATTTTATACGGGTATAAGTTACACTCTCAATCTTGATCGTTAATTTTATTTATATCTAACTATTCTTATTTATTAGATATTTGAGCCGTCAGATGTAAGTAAATCAATAATAAGATTTGGTGTAAATTTTCTTATTCTTATACTGGAAATATCTTACCCTATATATATATAATGAGATTAATGTTTTTTATGTTGTAGAAGATAATTTTATCTCCCACATACATAAAAGTGTATGAGACCCGTGTGAAGCTATCTAAAGAAAAGAGAAAGAAAAAGAAATTATGGATTTCATATACTTTTACGTGTATATAGGAGATAAATTTTATCTCCTAAAATATAAAAAATATTAATCCATATATAATTGGGATAAGATAATTATATCGGTAAGATTAATAAATCTTACATCTATTGATGTATTGTGTGCTATTGAGTTACAACAAATTTGGTCTAATTAATTATACGGGAGACAAGTCAAAACCAACTACAATATTGGCTTTAGCCCAAAAGGAGAGTGCACGTCGAGTGATTACGAAAATACTGAAATAGCCTTACCTGGAGGGCGAACTGGGTCAATCTAGTGTGGAGTTCAGATTCTTCAGAAATGTCAAGTCAGATAGAAGATGTTGCAGAAGAAGAAGAAGAAGAAGAACGAAGACCTCTTGTTGATTCCTCAAATCTCATTGTTCATCAAGATGAAGACACTATATTTCCTTTGCCAGATAAATCTTTACCCTCCCTTTCTGTTCCTAATCAACGCCTTGCTTCTCTCGATGTCTTCCGCGGTCTAACTGTTGCGGTTCGTCCTCACTTCTCAACTATTTCCTCAATTGTTTCCTGTTTATTGAAGATCTTTCTTTTTATTATTCAATAAATAATATTCACCTACCAGCAATAAATCATTATTTGAATATACTTTTTTTAACTTGATTGTCAATTAGATAAAGATTCAGTCATGCTTACCAATATCTGGAATCTGGTTGCATTAAAATATCTCAAATTTCGACGCAGTTGATGATTTTAGTTGATGATGTGGGAAGTGCTTTCCCCTCCTTGAATCATTCTCCATGGTTTGGTGTGACACTTGCCGATTTTGTTATGCCGTTTTTTCTCTTTGGCGTCGGCGTTTCCATCGGTCTTGTATTCAAGGTACGAAATCATCTTGCTTCTACAAACCCTGTTCTCGCCTCTCTCTCTCTCTCAACTGTCAATGCTGTAGTTGTGTACAACACTTGGAAAGTGATGGTTTGGACTTTGGACTTTGGACGTTGTAACTTGTATAGTATAGTGGCTTTCTTATATAAATACAAATAATTAGAAAAAAACTGAAATTTTGAACACTGTTCTAATTCTTGGATAACCTTTCAGAAAGTATCTAGCAAACCAAATGCCACAAAAAAAGTCATGTTCAGGACAATTAAGCTTTTCCTTTTGGGGCTGTTACTACAAGGTATGTTCTCCTGCTTTGCTACTGTTCCGGGGAGAGTTCCCCGATGAAGGGCTTCCTGGATGAGATCCCGGAAGACCTGCTCGACCTAAGGGTAAGGTATCGCGAGCTTAGGAAGTTGTAGGAAGCCAGTTTGTCACTCGGCTCAATATGTAGTCTGCTACTCTGCCATAGCCCCTTAACCCGGGTCATGGGATTATGCCCCATGACCTCTTGATCACCACTACTGCACCCATGATCACCACCTGCGGGACTCTCGCTCTGGCTCGTCTTACACCCTCTTAACTGCCACCAAGGCCTTATAATAGGCTAGAACAGTGACAGAGGAAGCTAGCTTGTGCATCGAGCATTTGCTAATCATCAGAATCCTGAGATTACACTATTCCCAGGTGTTCCCCCCCCCCTTGATTTTTACCATTGGACTGTTGGCAGGAGATACTGAGCTTCCCTTATCAGTTGTCTCTCTCCCATTACTCCTTAGATTGAAACACTGGCTGCATTGCTAGACACTTCTTGTTCAACACACCGAGATTACCTTTCCAACCAGCTGAAACTTGTTAAACAAAATTCTCCCCGTATTCTTTTGCACTTCTTTTGTTCATAGTAATGACATCAAATTTGTTTCTTTGTAATTGCAGTATGCATAACTCACTCATTTTTTTGTTAGTGGGCTGATAATGTTGCTTTACTACATATATATATATGTGTGTGTGTGTGTGTGTACAATTGATAGGCATTGCTTTAATGTTTCTTTCTGAAACATACATAGGTGGGTATTTCCATGGGCGTGGCAATTTAACATATGGAGTTGATTTGATCAAGATTCGCTGGCTTGGTGTACTTCAGGTAGCTACAACTAGCGAAGTTGTTATCCTTGCTATCTAATTATTAGGGTTTATTTTATTTTTCTTTTTTTATGATTCAGTAGGTTTGATATTATTGTTGTACATATTATTTTCTCTGTGATTTACTTTGTGCCGCTGATAATTAACAGTTTCAATGATGCTTTCTGAAATCACTTACTTGTTTGATGTATGGATAACAAGTGAAATGCACTGAGTTTCTTCATAGTGCCACTTCATGACTGTTAATGTCAATGCTTGGTGTATTGTATTGAGGAAGTGAATACAAAGTTTCTCCCTAATAAGCTTTAACTTAAGGGTGGTTGCTGATTTGCAGTAAGTACAAGAGTCATTTTTTCATAGAAATTGTTTTATTAAAAAAAAAAATAGTCGTTGAAATTGGTTGTTCTGTTATGGATAAGAATCATGACAGAGAAAAAAGTGACAATTAAGAAACTAAAAATTTCCTTTTGCTTTAGTTTTATAAATGTGTTTTCAATTTGATACATAATTTCCTTGTATGGTATGCAGAGGATATCTATTGGATATTTCTTGGCCTCAATATCAGAGATTTGGCTAGTGAACAAAAATACTTTGGTAGACTCACCAGTAGCTTTTGTGAGGAAATACTCCATTCAGTGGTTAGTTTACTTTTCTGGTGTTTAGTGCTTTAAAGGGGCTAAGTGTGGCACTTAAAAATTTCTATTTCTATGTTGACTGTTACTATAAGATATACCTACCAATGCCATGTTTCTTTGTCATTTTCTGATATCATGGTTTGCATTGTTGTGCTCTGATACCATATGTAACAGCCCCAAACCCTGTAGCATGATATTGTCCGCTTTGCCCCGCGCACAAGCACCGTCGAGCTCACGGTTTTGTTTCTTGGGACACCCCACAAAAGGCCTCACACTAGAAGAGGTATCCACACCCTTGTAAGGCATGCTTCGTTCCCCTCTCCAACCGATGTGGGACATTACATCCTCCCCCACTGGGAATACAGCGTCCCCGCTGTACACACCGGTCCAGGGCCAGGCTCTGATACCATGTAAAGAACCTTGGGATACACCACCCCAAAAGCTAGCTCAAAGGGTGGGAGTGCCCAAGACCTTATAAACTCCACATTAGTTGCACATACAACTAATGTGAGAATATATATCTCAACACATCACATATTCCTGCAGATTCTGTCCAAAATTCTCGGAACTGAATCATGATACTAGCTCCGCACATCTAATTGTCTAAATTAAATTTCTGTGGACATCATTTTTGCTGGCTTATGATATTCTTTGTTGCTAACTGCCTGTTTCTTTCTGCAGGATGTTTTCTATCTTACTTTGCTCAGTGTACCTTTGCTTGCTCTACGGCCTCTATGTTCCAAGTTGGAAGTTCAGATATTCTAACTTGCTTTGGTCTGGTCATGTATCAATTATTCAAGATGTGAGTTGGCATAGTTCTGTCACTCTGTGCCATTGCATGCTGAAAGATATTTAGTGAATTTTTTGGCTGAAGTTTTGATTTGCACTTTCTTGTGCACAGTTTGCTTACACTATCAAATAGTTCTGTAATGTTGGATGACCTGCGAGCTTCATCTTTGTAGTTCCAAAAATCACGAAACATCTCTTTAATTGATCCATAACTTCACTTTTTAAAAAATGGAACTTTAGGTTTGCATTTCATAAAATGATGACACCTTATAGACTAGCATTAACGCATCATGCTATTTTTTTTTGGATACAATGGTGACATTTAGGTTTGAACCTGTGACCTCATGCAAACTACACAAACCCTTCACCGCTAGACCAACACTAGTGGCTTTAACGATCATGCTATTTAAGAATGATGAATGTACTTTCTGGACTGAGAAAATAATAATGTAAAGAGAGTGATAATCATGGATGTATGTAGTGACACATTATGATGATTAATATTTCTTCTCATGCTTGATGTATTATGATGGCTTAGTTTTCCTGATTACTATTATTATTTTAAATTTTGTGTTTGTATTTTCATTTTCATGATTCTCCCTCCCTTGTGGGAAAAGGCTTTGGTTATTGTTGTTTTATATTTTCATTTTTATATGAGAATAAACTCAACATACAATATTTATTTGCCAGGTTCATTGTGAAGTGTGGGGCAGTCTTGAACCTCCTTGTAATGCAGTGGGATTTATAGATAGATCAATTCTTGGTGAACATCATATGTACCAGCGTCCTGTGTATAGAAGAACAAAGGTTATTACCTTCCCGGATAACTCCTGTGTTGAATCTACTGTCACTCAAACTTCATGTATTTTATCCATAAAGATCTTATTCCTGACCACCTTTTCATTTTTAGGAGTGTAGTGTTAATTCTCCCGACTATGGACCCTTGCCTCGAGATTCACCTGCATGGTGCCTTGCACCATTTGACCCAGAGGGTATTTTGAGGTCAAAAAGCATTCCCTGCTCTCTCCTTTTATCTTTTCTTTTATGATCATTATAGATTTATAGTGGCATTGAAAATCTATGGTTACATCTTACAATTTGAATCGCCAGTAATCAAGATATTTTTTTGAGTTGTGCAAACTGCAAAGTATTTGGTTTATGTTATGTTCATCTTTTTTTGCTGTTCTCTCATGTAGGGCTATTTATATCTTTGAAATTATATTGGCATTGATGTGCTATACTATAGACAGCCTAATTAATGATTAAATTATTCCATTAACTATCTTCAATTGATTAACACAGATAAAGTTTTAGTGATTTTTGGAAATAGGGTTCACATCCTGGGCCTGGCTGGGTCTTCTTGAATTTTGTGTGGGCTAGTCTAAATTCAGACTGGACCCAGACCGGCTCAGATTTAGGTTGGGCCAACATTAGTTGGTCCATCCGATATTTTATATTGGACTATTTGGGCTGACCATAAGGTTAGGCCCATTTTGACAGCCTTAAATTCTTATTAATACATTGGTTGCTAATTTATTTTCTTGAATCTTCCAGTTCACTGATGGCTGCCATTACATGTTTTGTGGGATTGCAATTTGGGCACATACTTGTACTCTTACAGGTCCGGATTATGACTCTTGCACAATGTATAAAAATCTAATACTGGTGTCTTTCTTATGATATAGAGGCGGAAGATGTAAAATTTATCTCTGATATATATATATATATATAGATTTTATGATATCAATTAGTGTCTTCTCCATTCAGGACCACAAGCAGAGGGTATTTCTTTGGTCTGTGTTTTCCTTCTCTCTATTGCTAATAGGATACATTCTGGAGATTTTAGGTACTATCTAATTTTAATTTCTGAAGATAAAAAATGCACTATACTCCAACTAACAAATGTAAGTTTTTCAGGAATTCCTTTATCAAAAGCACTGTACACATTAAGCTACATGTGCATCACTGCAGGAGCATCAGGCTTGGTCTTGACTGCTATCTATTACATTGTAAGTTCATCCTTGTGTCATAAATAGAGATAATTTATATCCCTAGGGGAAAAAGAGAAATCGGAAGATAGACTTACTTGGTTTGATTCTCATGAGAGTGGAGAGCGCCTCATACAGCCCAAGTTAGACTTACTTGGTGCACTCGTATGCACCTATAGGTATTAAGCCACTAATTGTTGGTGCCTCTTTGTCAACCCACACAGCTCTCTCCCCAAAACAGCCAAAAAATAGTGACATTTTATCTCAATTGCAGAGCTTGAGCAAACGCCCTCCCCCAGTGCACAAAAGCTCTCTGACTTTGCAACGGTAGAGATGAGAGTCAATTGTATGCAGCCTTATCTTTGCATTTTGCAAAAATACTATTTCTTAAACTCGAACTTGTGACCTTCCAGTCACAAAGGAGCAAGTAATTACTTGCTCCAAAGCTCGCCCTCAATAGTAAAGCAGAACATTTGAGACTATATTTGATATCATTATGTGTGATTAATCCTTAAATTCTTTTCCTAGCTATGTTTTACTATTTCTGTTTGTGATGAAAGCAAGTTGAAGTCAAAATATTGCATTTTCTTGTTTCTTATAAATGCAAGTCAAAGCCAACTCTTTTTTCTCTTCTTAATGTTATTGTTTTTGTCCTCTCTCTCTTTCTCTCTAAATAGCTAGCTATAATAGGTCCATGAAGATTACTCTCAGGAGGCTTCCTCTGCTTTCTTCTTGTCAATCCCTCCCCTTGAATTAATTTTGGATAGTCAAGACCTTGACTGACTCTTCAAGTCCCTTTAGTTAAAGTGATGAAAAATGTTTACTGAAGAGGTGGAAAACTTCAAGAGTAGAGAAAAACAAGAAATTCTTAAACCCTACTGTTTTCTTGATGGCACTAGGAACGAAAAAGAAGCTGGGTTCTTGTTTGGTTTAGACTTTAGACCATGATGATTTATTCTTTTTGGTATTTGTGGCATATCTCCTCTAAGTTGTATGTGCTTGTTAAAAGTGCTTCGAAGTTTGTAAATTACTGTCTTAGCTTTCTATGAGATGATAATGACGTAGTGATGTATAGGTTGGGCTGAAACGTATTTCCCGGTTCTATTCGTAGTTGTTTTGAGTGAAGTTAGTGACTGCAGTCACTGATGAATGATTAAAAACCTGCTACTTCACCAAAACATAGTTTCTTGCAGGTTGACATAGAACATCTCAGAAAGCCTACAGTTTTACTACAATGGATGGGAATGAATGCTCTTATAGTATATGCATTGGCTGCTTGTGACATATTCTCAGCAGTTATCCAAGGTTTCTATTGGCGTTCTCCAGAAAATAACTTGGTAATGCTTCTTTTCCAATGGGCTAGATCTTTACATCTCATGTCCTCTTTCATTATAAAATATTTAAGCTGGAATTTGAAGAGTAATTTATTACCAAATCGAAGTTAACATTCCGCCCCACATATTTTGGTCACTCCAATAATAGAAAGAGTTTTCTCACCCTTTAACTGTTCTATCCCACTCCATATTCACTCCGTTCTTTTTTTTCACCCTACTAGAACAGGTGTAGACGTGGTTTATTTTATTCGATTCTTGGAACTCCTTTCCCCCCTCTTTTTCTCTACTTCTCATTTTCCAAGCATACCCAAATTTGTCACAACAATTGCGATTTTTTTGGGGGAGGGAGGCATTGATGTCAATTTGTAGACCTATACTTGATTGTTCAATTTGGTTAATTGGGAATTTATTATGCAATATGCAGGTTGACGCCAGTGAAGCTTTAATACAGAGCATATTTCATTCCGAAAAGTGGGGTACACTAGCCTTTGTAATAGTTGAGATATTGTTCTGGGGTCTTTTTGCTGGTTTCCTCCACAAGAAAGGGATATATATAAAAATGTAACGGATGATGCCATCATACGAGAGATGATGACGTGTACATTTATGTTCCTTGTAGATATCTTCCATTAGAAACCAGCAATGTTTTATAGCAAGTTAATATCTTGTTGGTTATCTTTGCTGGTTCTCCTATACTGCCAAAATTTTCTTCTGAACTTTACCTTAGGAATATCTCAAAGGCATTTCCACTATGTGTCTTGACAATCTTAAGGCGAACAGAATTCAGCAGGGGACTGAATTAAAGCTTAAATAAAAGTAATGTGATTTTGTTTTTTTACCCCCGTCCCAAAACCAAGATCATTACAGCTATTAGCCATTACTAAGTAATGTAAAGGTGACGGGGTTGCTCGAGTGGCCTAATCATACCTTTTTTTAACGGTTGTGCGGTGATAGATACATTATTTATTCCACAGTTATTCTGTGTTACGAATCTCTCGTATTGGTTATCTATATAATTAATGTGGGATTTATAAGATCTTTGACATTTTTACTCTTTGAACTAGTTTTTGAGGTGGTAACTTCAAGATCTGTAACAATTGATGCTTTCATTGAAAGTTGAGTTTATGAAAAGGGCTATTTATAAACTGGATTAAAGTGTTATACCTAAGGTGTTGTAAGTGTGAGTGAAAGCCGTGGTGTATGTCGGCTCCTTAAAAGAGGTTGGCAATGTTATGAGTTCCACGTTATTTACCTATACAACCAAATGTGAGGTTTATAAGGTTTTGGGTATTCCGGTCTTTTAAACTAGCTCTTGTGGGTGATGGTATCAAAGTTCCCTATATTCTGCTTAGGCTTTTGGTTGATGAACGCAAAGTTAGTTTCAAGTTGTACGAAAGTGGCACGAGGAGTTGAGATAACATTGTTTCTGCATCAAGCAATCTGTTTTTTCCTTTGAATCTTACCATTTGCTTTCACTGAAAAGTGTGTTTAAGATAGAGACAGTACAAGAAAGTCTGTGCAGGAAGTCACTTCTCTAAATGATAAAATATTAAAACATTGAGAACGTAAAAAGGTAACTAAATATAGAGGAGAGATATTCTCACTACCAAAATTTTCTACTACTAACTTACTACCTATTTAATCACCATTAGATTAACATTTTCTCTCTCTTCAAACACTTTTTAACATTCTCTCTCTTTGATCCAATAGTGATGTGATGGGTAGTAAGTTAATACTGAGAATTTTTTGTAGTTAGAATATCCTCACTCCTAAATATATTCCTACTACTGATCAGATTGAAGTATACATCATATTTAGATGAATAAAGAACATATATGAATTACATTTCAGAACTGTAAGGTAATGAGTTTTAACTTACAATTCCGCTCATAACATTGTCTCGATTAATATACAATCCAGAGAGAGAGAGAGGGGGAAAAAAGCAAGCAAGAGCACACACAAAATAGAAGAAATGGACTACCACAAAGACAATTCCTCCCTTTGTTCTCCAAGATAGAAAAAAAGAAAAAACAGCAGGGCCAAAGAAAAAGAAACAAACAAAAGCAATCCGATCCCAGTGTGCTACTACTTTATGTGCTACAAAATTAAAATATGCTTGGAAACTTTCAGGCTTTATGTTCATATCTTGTAAGGACCTACTATGGTATATTTGGTTTCTTCTAACCGAAGATAAGATATTAAAGAGTCACAAGTAGTAAAGGGCTCCAATGAAGTATTAGTTCTCTCTTTTTTTGGTCTTCTGACATCTTTAACTCTGGTCTTGTCATTTCCAAAAGTAAACTCATCAAAGAAAGAATTAATGTGCCCCAGTAATTTTGTTTCCGGTTTCTTCTTTTCCAAATTATATAAGCTAATGTCATTTATCTGCACCCCTCCTCAACGCTCCATTTGGTGTCCTACATTATTCAGGAAAGAAAAGAATGGCTACTGAGAAAGGCAATGCTGAGGCTTCAGATACCCTTTTCAACATCAAGGAGGATTCTGTTCAACCATCATCGAGCATCAAACATCTTGAATACTGTCACTTCGGAAAAGCACTGGCATATAGAGCAGTTTATGGTTATAGTGGTACTCAACGCAGTGGAAGCAAAAAAGCCAGAGGTAATGATGCCAAAACATCCCCAAGCAGGCTCAGCAAGGTCACAGTGGCTGCAGATAATACAGATAATTAACTAGCTTGAAAAAATACTCTTACTTACTATTCTACTTCTAGTAGCTATGTATGATTTAGTGTACTATCTGTTCCACTAGTAAACCATTTTAATTATATGTATAATTTAGAACAGAAAACTGCACCTAATGTGATGCGTTAAAGTGATTGTAATATCCTGTTGTGCATAGCAGAAATATATCTATTTTGTTCCCTTTTGCTTTGCTTTGCAGTAACTGTAACACCACACCATTTGGCATGACCATTATAGGGGAAAGGGCATTATGTATAAGTACGGAATAAATGGAATCTTCAAAATGATAAGATTTAATATAGTTGAGTGTTAGGTTAAGATACTCTGGCAAGAGCAAATTCATCTAACTATTTTCTATGGAAAAAAGTTTTGACCGTAAAATGCAACAACTTGTGCAGAATGAATCATCAATTGTAATGAGAAAATGTCACATGTTATCCATCCAAATTGTAATACACAGCATTTGATACTTTGCGTGCTATCAAATGATTCAAATTGAAGCTGAATAGTTAAGTACATCGATCATATACTATATTGCAACGTTTTTTGGTAGTTACCATCAAGGAAATGTAGGGGCAAAAAGATAAAGAGAGCTTATCCTGGTCATCTCCAGCCTTAGAGGATTAAATGCCTTAGTTTTAGTTGAGATATATAAAACTATTAATGTAGCCTCACCCAACAGCTTAAGCTTTTGGGTTGAATTGGTTCTTTACATGGTATCAGAGCCTCGGTGTACCGGGTTCGATCCTCACCGCCCCCCACTTTCTTTCTAGTGGAATTTCTTTGTTCGTACAGGTAGGTGGACCTGTGCATTGTCTACCCTTCAAGTCCATTGGGCTCTCGTGTGAGGGGGCGAGTTAAGATATATAAAACCATTAATGTAGCCTCACCCAACAGCTAAGTTTTTGGGTTGAATTGGTTATTTACAGTTTTAAATATACATTGCTATTCTAAATTGTAATCTGGCAATATTTCATTAGATTTGTTTAAGTCAGAGTCAAGATTTATTCAAATTATGTTTTTCGTATCTTTCAGAATGAAACAAGGACGTTAATTTTTCATTTTTTGTCTGCTGAAACTGAAATGTTTTAGCCTAAAATTATTGATACTCTGAAACTTGAAGGCAGAGAAACAAGGGTTGCAGATTAGTATTGTACTTGTTTACTTCATTTTCACTACCGTTAAGCTCACCTATAATTTATTGTAATCTATATTAAACAGTTTCGGTTAGTTAGTTAAATCGAATTCACGGAATGAAGTTTATGAATCATCTCATCGTCTCAACACTACAGCATAAGTTGTTAGAATTTGGATATCCACACAGATGCAAGTGACAACCACATAAGTATATCTATGAAGAACTTTCTGTTGTCAAATCTATTCTCTTGATCTCTTGATCTATTTGATCTACTTGATCTCTTGATCTACATTTCATACAAACTATCAAAGGCTATTTATAAGCTATAAAACTGACCAACATAACTCCACACATAACACCCTCGTTACTTTATAACTGACATAACTGACTCATTAATATTCTAACTGACATAACTGACTCATTAATATTCTAACTGACATAACTTCAAACTCATTAATGTCCACTAACACAAACCTAAGGACATGACTCTTCACCAGAAAACTCTTCACATTTCTATTTTCTATTTTCTGTTTTATCTCATTAAAATTTAACCCAACAAAACTCCCCCTTAAATTTTAATTCTTTTTTTTTGAATTTTCCACCGGTTAATTTTTTTCGCGCTGCTTCCATGTTGCACTCCTTTCTTCAAATTTTTTTTTTTTGTCCGGCGGTTCCTTCATTGGTGGAAGATAGACAGTCTTGAATGTTCCTCTGTCGACCTCATCCTCCAATATACTTCCACATCCATTCTTACATGTATGATCTTCACACAAGTCATCATACTGATAAGTATCTGTATCACTATAACGTCCCATTAGTTTTACAACACCTATGCCAATTTTAATAATTTCAGATTCAACATGTGCTACATTAATAGCACGTTGGGCCTCTTCAACCATAGTAACCCCATCACTCATTGAGGACCGTTGATTCCCATCATCAAGCAAATAACTCAACTCATCATTTTCTGATTCCGCCCCACGATCTTCTTCTGGTTTACGCTTGAGCCAAAATGATTCCACCATAAAAGTAAATCTAGGCTCCTCATCGCCGGGTTCCCTATCCACAATCACACTTTCCATCTTTCCGCTTTCAGTTTCTTCATCGTCGGGTTCTTCTTCATCGAGTCCAGCTTCCACGCGCCTCAACAATGGAATCTCAGACCACCGTCCTCCAGGGAAATGGTCTCTTTTCGGTGGTGTCCACATCTTCCACTTCCACCATAAATTCAATGCAGTCTTCGACTTCTGACTTCCAACCCGAACCGCACCTATGCCGGTCTCCGACATCAACCTCATCACGCCGGGGTCGAGCTCTTCTCCAAAACATGAACTCGGTGATTTAGCCGGGATCTCACCCAACCCGGTTATCAACACGGAACTCGGATTCGCGGTCTCCTCCATGCCGGTCTCCATCAAGCACCTCGGCTTCTCAATCTCCTTTCCGATTTTCGACTCTGTCTCCAGACACTCAGGTTCCACGAAGTCTTCTACCTCGACAATAGACTCGTCGTTCCCGTCCTTCTCCGCTTCGATCTCGGCTCCTTCGTTCTCCTCATCTTCTATCTCAGCTCCTTCGTTCTTCTCCTCTTCTATCTCGGCTCCTTCGGCCGCAGTCATCTCCATCGTCTTCTTCTCCGAGTCGTCTCTTACGCATTCTGACACGTCAATCTCCTCCGCGGATGCGTTGCCGTTGGCAACCTCGGATTCCACCATCTCGGTCTCTTCTTCATCCGCATCATTTTCCTCATCTTCATCATCATCATTGAAGATTTCATCTTCTTCATTAATCAGATCAAAACGTCCAGGCAAGTATTTTGTTACGAAGGCCATTAGAAAATCCTTCCACATATTATTAAAGTCGCGGCAGTTCCATGTACGGAACCATTTGATTGCGCTTCCTCTGAGTCTTCTCATGGCTACCTGCCATTTGTCCTCCGTCCAGATTTTTTCTTTCCGAAAATGTTCCTTCAAACAGAGAAGCCAATCTAATGCTTCATCCTTATCTCCATGGAAGAGTGGCACTTCCATCTCGTTCTTTTCCTCCAAAGCCCAAGCTCTGATACCAATTTGTTAGAATTTGGATATCCACACAGAT